AAATTTATTGATAATTTGTGTTGCTTCTGGCTTTGACCGCGCTCTCGGCTGGAGAGATCAGATCACTTCTCAGAGTCCTTATCACCTTAACTCGATCAAGCCCAAAACACTCCTCATCTTCAGTGGTGGTAAACATCCGCCGAAGCATTAACAGCGTATTAGAAGCCCGCACAAGTGCCCTATGATCTTCTACCACAAGCGAGCTTCCACTGTCTGGGCCTGCTCCAACTGGGCGGCCAGTCAACTCCAGCATCTGGCCTTCCAGCTGCCTACCTAGAACCAAACACCTTCCCACAGCCCTTGCTAATCTCACAGTTGCCCATGATCTTTCGGCAGCACCTCGAACCTCCTCCGCACTTTCCCACCGCTCTAAAACATCCTTCTCCAGCCTCCTATATCCCTCCCTTAATGCAGAAACCTGCCCTTCTACCGCCTCCAAAACCCGCTGACCAGCGTCGGTCTGGCCGCGCGTATGTGTAAGTAGTGGAAGCGCAGATTTCGTAGCCAATGTATGGATATGGGTGTCGATTTCTTGGATATCGAAGAGGACACGAGACAATGGAGTCGAGAGATCAAGTGGGGTATCGGACGGGTTGTTTGTGCTGGTGACAAGGGTGTTGGCGAAAGCAGAAGGGGAGAATGAGGGATCAAGGAAAGCTTCGTAATCGATATATGATGGCTCAGAATCGGCCATCTTTTACATATACGTCCCTACTTTATTCCCTTCGTGTTTAAAGGCAAGAAAATTAGGGACGTTTTCATTGTGGTCTAATAGTTGGAGCGGGGTTGGGTAGGGGGTCCTGGAATCCCCGAAATGGTCAAACCAAGCGCTATTGCCTGGTTTTCTCGAAATGAAAGCACAGCGGGGGGTATAAAGGAACATTTTTATACCTTAAGTATAAATAAACAAAACGATATATATGAGAAAGGAATTTCGCGGTCTCAGAGCTTTTAGAACTGCGCGCATGCGAATGATTGGCAATCGAGGGAAGTCATACTGAGCCACGCGAGATAAGAGTACGGGATAGAAGAGAGGTTCTCGAGATATAAATGAAAGATACAGGTGTCTTAGGAATAGAACTCCGCAAGGATATTCAGTGACAAGAATTGGGGAAACGATTGCAGATGAAGTTCGGTGAGGGGAATTTTGGGGATCAAAGGTCATTTGATTGATGCTGAGCTGCCACGGTTGGGGCAAATCTGCTCACGTGGAACTCTAGTTTGCTACGTCATTCCTTTGGGTAAGTGAACTTGGTTTCCCAGAACTTGCTATTCCTCGAATGGCAGTTCCATTAACTATCATCCACCATGTATTTGGCTTTGGAGTATGTTCATCCGTCCTCCCGTGTATGGTTGGCACGCTGTCCTGATGGCTGCGCTGCGACTGACTCTTGGTCGTCGGATCCTTCGCAACCACTGCAACCAGATAACTACATTATTGAATCGAGAATGCCTGTGGTGCGAATCCCGGAAACACATATTTCTCCGCCCGTAAATTGGATTCCCACCCGTATCAAATCCGAGGATGATAACGAGAATGATGTTTGGTTAGTTGATTCAATGAGCACAACGTGGGCACAATGAGCAATGCGATACTCTATGTTTATACTAGAGTCAATCAATCATGATTTTTGGAGATCTTCCTACCTGGAACTGGCCACAGAGAACAACTACAAAAAAAACAAAAAACTTGTCTGCAAACGCCTAAAGATCTTGACAACATTGAAGCTTGGCTCACCCCGTTTGTGGAGAATTTTTAAATGGATCATGGTTTGACCTATCGGGTTTGTGGACTTGGATCAAGGCAAGTCAGAACGTAGTTAATATCTCTTGCAATGTAGATACACAATTGTGTTGAGCAGGTAGCCAGATAATTCTGCGGCTTTCCCAAGTCGGTAGAAAACAAACATGTTTATAGAGCGTTGCCCCAAGCGGCGAAAATAAAAATAAAAAATAGCCAAATAGGAATGATATCGAGAGAGGAAAACGCTAAAATCTACATGGTAGGGAATTCCTGTGACCTGCAATGCATTCCCAACCCACGCCAATACGATGCAAGACAAAAGAAAACTGTAAGAGACCAATGGGTATATAAATTAGAAGAAATAAAAAGAAAAGAGGAGAAGAGAAGGAGGGTATACAACGATCTTCAAACCGGATCGTCAGCCCTCTCTTTCATTGCAACCATCTCATAGCCTTCCATATTCCTGCCACGGCCCCTCCCTCTTGAAAATTCGAAAATGCCACCACCACCACCACCTCTACCATCTTCATCTCCAGTGGCATCCTCACCAGACTGATTCGTGCCATTATTACCGCCATCGTTCGATGACGCATTCGCAGCGGACCCGCCGAAAACGATGGGCTGTAGCTCCCTCCACCGGCAAGCCCACATGCCCAAAAATGTCATAAGTGCTGAGCTAACGACCTGCAAACCCCACCAGAGAAAGTTTGTAGGGAGGGAATGGGTGTAGAAAGACGTGACGAGGAGGTGTATGAAGTGGATTGTGAGGGCGAAGTCTGGAATCAGTTTTGAACGGGAGACCCAGAGGAGAAGGAATATGACACTGTTTTGCGCACCCGTTTGTTAAATGGGTGGTCTGTAAATAAATATGAAAGGGCAAAGATTGAACGTATAAACAAGAAAGGGAGGTGGGTGGGAAGAAGAGTCTTTACCCAACAGCGCTGTTGAGCAACCAGACGAGCCCGAGTGTCCATCCAATCGTCGTATCGCCGCTAAGACTGCGCCAGGAGAGTATTAGATCTGGTGAAAAGGCGGTGCCGGCTACAAGAGCCGTGAAGAGGATGAGGATCGTAGCACAAGCATAATAGGCGGCTTGGAGTACGACGATTCTGGTCACGATCTTGAGAGGAGGCAAATCGGTAAGAACCCCGGGTCGAGGGGGTCTCCGACGACGTTGCATGAAGTCGATGTGGAGGAGAGAGGGAAGGATGGGTAGGGGGTTAAGTGGTTGTTTGGGGGGTTTATGGACGAAGAGTCAGTGGCATTTCAAGTACACTGCGCGAGGCTTGCGCGTTGATGGGGCAGTATTTATAACCGATGGCGCGTGGTTGTTTATCTACACAGGTTCATGGGTATTTATTATAAAGAAGCAAGTGGTTCATTATAGGGGTGGTTTGATCGCAAGATGATGTTCCTGTTGATGACATCTCGGAGCGGGAAATTCTGGCCAGAATTCTAGATCACGTGATATATATAATTTTGTCGCAGAAATGACGCGGAGATCAGAACGACAGCTATCACGGAGCAATGCTACTAATTCAAAAGAAAGAAGAAAAAAGAGGAAAATACAAAGGTGGATCAAAAAACGTGTATTTCCAATTCCGCTCCATACATAGACTGTGGATTGCTTTAATATTTCGAAACCATCCGCCCATCTTCTCGACCCATTACCCATAAACCGCCGGTTATGGGTTGGTTTTCATCGTTCTCTTCACCCGCCGCACCCAAAACGGCGGACGGTGGCTCCATAGCACCCGACCGCACCTCACGACAACAATGCTACATTGCCCGTGATGCTTTCTTCGAATGCCTAGACCAAAATAACATAGTCGATGCCGTCCGGGAAGACAAAACCGCGCGGGCAATATGCCCGAAGGAAATTCTCGAGTTTGAAGGCGCTTGCTCGAAGACTTGGGTGCGTTGCATGGTTTTTGCTTCTCCCTGTCCTCTTCCTGACGTTCAATGTTTTATATGTATAATGCTTGAAAGGAAAAACCTCCAATATAATTAGGGGCTTATGGAAAACGGCTAACTATTTTTACGAACGCCTTCGTCAATAATATTTAGGTGAAATATTTCAAAGAGAAGCGTGTTATGGAATATAAGCGGGATCAGACAATTGCGAAGATAAAAGCGGATGACGCCACGATGGCTGCGGAGAGTAGGGCAGGGAGGTAAATGCAATCAGACAAGTCAGTCTGCTGGGTGGCTCTTCCGAGCCTAATATGAATTTTCGGTGACTAGTACCGGCATGCACCTGTGCTATTGTTATTGTGGATTGATCCATCTCAATGACTTTGTTGGCACCCCGGAATAAGGGGTTGTGGTTGGGGGGAATGGCCCGACTCATTGTATATTATGCTTTTTCACTCTGTTTTTTAACGACATTTTATATGCAAACCACTCATGTGGTTTTATTCAATTTATGCGTCTGCTTTTATTTCCCCCGTGCCGCTTTTCCGGATATACATACTAGGCTACTACGTTCTGATCTACAGGGAAGAGGGATAACGTGCAGGCTATGTCGGAAGGCGTATGGAATCTGCTACCAGGTTTACAGTCGTCGAAAGATGCATTAATTAGATATTTTCATTATTTGATGACGAGCATCTCTGGTTGATATCCTTGGCCCATTCCTGATAAGGTGATTCAACAGCTATCACACTTCGATATTTTCCCGTTCTGCGTATTAACTTTGCCGAACAACTGACAGGTCGAATGCGCCATGGTTTGCTAAAAAGCTGATATAGAGAGGCATGTATGCCAATTCATGTACAAGGACCATATGTAGACAAATTTCGTAGATTGAATGTGAAGAAAACAAAAAGTTCATTGCTTCCACTTCTTCAATTGGTCCATGATACTTTGAATATGGGGAGACATCTGTGGTGCTATCTGAGGAGGCGCGATAAGCGGTTGACTTAATCGTTGTCCTCCCAAAGTTTGCGCCAGAAGGGATGCCAAGTTCGGATCACTTTTCCCGCCGGGGAGGTGCGGTGGAAGCCCATAAGCAGGAGGCTGAGCTGTTTGGGTGGCAGAGGTTGGAGGAACCAAAGAATTTTGCTGACGAGAGAAGCTACTAAGGATACTCGCAAGATCTGTTTGGTTGCCTTGGGGAGTGTAGTGTTGCTGAGCGGCCTGGAGCGTGCAGCTAGTCAGTTGAGCAGAATTCTGGGGTGAAGGGTTTTGTTGTAGTGCGCGAAGGAGAGATTGAAGTGCGGTGCTATCTAGACTAGAAATGAGATTCGTAATATTATTATTAGATTTTAAAGGAGGTGGGACTTTAGAGGACGCCTGCAGTTGAGAAATTTCAGGCATTTGCGTAGTGGTATATTTCGAGGTACTCCCAGGGTGGACGGTCGTCGCATGAAGCACGACATCGGCAGCAACATTCAATTCAAGCTCTGAATATTCTGAAAGTCAAAGAATCAGTACAGGCTTAAACAATAGAATCTGCTGTAAACCTCACCATTGAACTTAACATTGTCGATGCCACCTGTGCGATTAAACACCTGTAATGGGATTTTGCCAGAATACTGATTTGAGCGGGATAGCTTGACAATTGCCTGCACCCCCTCGATTATCTGACGTCGAATAACAGCTGCAAGGGACATCCGGGGGCTCAAAATGAGAACATCCGTTCGCAACCCCCGGTCTCGAAAAGTTTTTTCGATATGATGTATGAAATCTCTAAATGGTAGTCGCTTTTAGCATTATTCCCAATAGCTACCATGGAGGAGGTTTTTACCTATCAACGTTTTCTAAGACAATTATTTCGACATCTGGTACTTCTCGTGGGGATCGCTTTGGAATATGAAGATCTGAGTCATTTTCAGTACCCTTTTCTCTCGGACTCGGACTTCTATATCTCCCTGAACGTGAGTAAGGAGACCTTGAACGACGCCTATTGCGACGTCGTTCATAATTCTCTGGAGTTCGATCATGGGAGCGAGGGTCGCCTCGGCGGTATCCATGTGGAGATGGCGTACGAGCTGAGTGGTAATCATCACGACGGCGATACGGCTCATCACGGTCCCCGAATTCTCTGATAAGTGGCCTGCCGGGCTCCGCAGTTCTGTCAAATCGGTCACCACCTGAACGGATGCCACGGTAATTTGATATAACTCGGGCAGCTTCAGGTGACCTAGACCTTCTCTTAACTGGTTGCCTCGAGGAATCTGGTGCCGGAGCATTTCTCGTTGATTTTTGAGGTTTTGAGATTTCAAGATCTAAATAGTCAGGAAAAGATCTCATATTGAAAAGTCATTTACTGCTGAAGAAAGAGTGACTAACGAATTTTGCGACCTCGTATAAATCCTCCTTGTTCTGCTTCTAACGCATTATGGCAAGATGTAGGTTCTAGGAACTGGACAAATCCATATGCCTGCTTAATGGATATTTGGGCGAGATCACCGTATTTATGAAACAGGTGGAAGAGGTCCCGTTTGGTGACTCTCTCCGTGGGCAGATTCCCTTTTCTGAATATTAGAATAGATGTACAAAAAAATAAAAATCCCCACTTGAAAAGGAAAATAATACAAAACTTACCAACAAACAACCTCGATCCAGGCGGAAACCGATCCCAAAGCCCTTCAGTAACATAAACACGTTCGTTATGGAGAAATTTATCATATTTTTTCTGAACTTCAGGCGCCCAAGGCTCCTCCCTATCTCCTTCCCAGCGAGAACTCTTGGGTTTTTCGTTGTTCAGCCTGTCACTTCGGGGAGCCTTTGGAACACTGCTTTTCGTTTGGTTGCCAGGTGATTGGGAAAATTTCTGAAAACCCGCAATATGAGGGGGAAATCCATTTGAGGTAGACGAAGTTCCAGATGCAGGGGATGGCAGCCCACTAGGCTTAGGAAAATTACTTGGGCCGTATTGGGAAGATCCACTTTCAGGTTGGTTGGGCAACGGGTGGAAATATTGAACGTTGTCAGGACCCGGTCGGATAGAAGGTCTTTCTTGGGGTGGTGGGCGGGGAGGGAGACCAGCAGAAGGTGGAGGGGATGTGTCTAGGGTTGAAGGTTTGGTCACATAATTATTAGAAGATGCGGTAGTAACGGCGGTATTTGTGGGAAAATCGGTAGTATTTTTGGCACTTTTAGCATTTGATAAGGTATTCAGGGATTTCTGGTCGTTGGCATCTCCCTCAAGATCTGCTTTAGTTTTAATGTTTTTATTATGATCACCAAGAGAAGCGGGAGTAATAAATTTCCTAGTGGATTTCACGTCTGCATCCTTTGATCCCGTCATTTGATCATTGCCCGGAAGCGTAGGTGAATAATGGGGTTCGGATTGGGAGTTCTCGGAAAGTATAGGACGTTCTAATGGGGACGGGGTTTCAGATGTGATGGATGTGGTATGGGAAGGCACGGTTGGTTCGTTCACGTCAGCAGTGGAGGTTTGAGAAACACGACATGGAGATTGACTTGTGCTGTAAGCAGATGAAAAAGTCGATTCATTTTCTGTATCAGTCTTTGGTTGATAACCCGTGTGTAAAGATCGAGAAAAGCTAACTGCTCCTTGCTCGCCAACGCCTTTTGACCCCAGGTTTTCAAATTTATGACGCAGCATAGCGTATGTATGAGTTGTGACCTGAACCTGTTCACCTACAACCGACTCAGTGTCCAAAGGTGGCGTTTTCTCCAGAAATATCTGTTTATACATGGGTGAATCGCTAAATGACGGATCCATCTGACTCTGCAGCAACGGGATGTGAGTAGGTTCAGATACATGAAGTGGCTGTGGACTTTCCGGGGTGAGAGTCTTGCCACGAACATGAAAAACCTCATCAGGGATAGTTGAGGCCATGTATGAGGTTTCGATATGCATATAGGGGGTTACTAAAAAGGCATCTGGAAACAGGAAAAAAATCTGGTTAAGAGATGCTGGTTATTCGTGGCCTGCAGGTTGAGGAGGGGCAAAAAAGACTGAAGATAGGAAGATGATGACAGGGATATGGTGAGCGTAAGTAAGCAGACATAGGGACGTTGAAATACTTAAAGTATCCCTATCCGTGGTCTCGACGAATTCAGAGAGAAAGTAACGACCCTGGAGACAGTGGAAAGTGATAGGTGGCTGGATGGTTGGTGTGAACTGTGTGTGTAGTCGGAGCAGTGGAGGTTGGCTCTGAGCCTCATGGCCGAACGGAGCAACAAGCAATATGATCAAGCGCCTTTGAGAGCTCTTTGGCGCCATGTTTGCTTTGTTTGCCAATGACGACGACTAGCGGATCTTGCCAAGTGTGCAACATAAGAGTCTAGGCCTTTTATTTTTCTGTTGTCTCGTCCGCTTGGATATGGGGCCCACTCTGCGACGGATATCGCACAACAAAAGCTGCATCGTCAGGGGTTACAATCAACTTTGTAATCGTTGACATGCTCCGAATTCTGTTCTCCCATCCTAGAACTGTTTTTACTACTCGGGTGTTTTTTCCAACAGTTAGCACAAGATACCTTGCCTCCAGCCGATGCCCCAAAGCACAGGAGTTTACAGACGAGGAATTGGCCGTAGCACGGAGCTGGCTATCCCAGCTTACTCCAAGGACAATTCCAAGAGATATAGGCGATGTTTCCTATAGTAGATCAAGTGGCCCAGGTGGCCAGAATGTGAACAAGTATGCCAGCAACAATTACTATCCATTGTCTCCTCATCCTCTATTCCCCGTCCTGGATTAAATAGAAAATTTTTTTCTTAACGTCATGACCCTGAGAGGATGAGGAAAGAAACTAGCAATGTTTGTTTTATATGTATAATAAAATTGTTGCTTAGGGTAAACTCGAAAGTAACGCTTAAAATTCCTCTCTCCACCATTCTGCGACTTGTACCTCGAGCCCTACACGCCCAGATCCGATCTTCGCGCTACATCGCGGAACGCTCTGACAGCTTGGTGATACAATCGGACGAAACACGGAAGAAGACAAAAAACCTCGATCTCTGTTTTGAAAAGCTCCGGGAGCTCCTGCTCACAGCTGGAAAAATGGCCATCCCGGGCGAAACGTCGCCTGAACAGAGGAAGAAAGTACAGGCTCTGTATGTTCTCTTCTCGGCTATCCTTAGAGCTTGATGCCAACATTTTCTAATTCCCAACCAGTGAAAAGGCCAATAATGAATCTAGAATGCGATCTAAAAAAGCCCGTAGCATGAAGAAAAGCAGTCGGAGGTCAAGCGGCTACGATGATTAGGAGTCGTGACAAGTCACTCCTACAGCGGTTAATTAGCGTATAAAAGTAGCATGGGAAATAAAGTTTGAACCGATTATATGTTTGGATCTCATTGCTATATCATATCTCAAGGAAATATTGACAACAAAAATGATAATTCAACTCAACGATCCTTCAACATTTCGCAGGGTTGCCCTCATCACCTTTTGCAGATCTGGATCGAGTCTCTCTAGCGTCATCAATGGTTGTAGCCAGGAGACAACCTCCTTCGCTAGGCTTTTGTTTCCAGCGATGTTGTGGCTCTTGCATTCTTTTAATCGACTAAGGGAGGTACCAAATGCTTGCGGGAATCGCGCAGAAGTTACCTCGATACCAGCCGTGGGGAACATGATATAACATATCTGTGCGTTGGGACTTGTTGCATTTTCTGCCATCATAAATTCGACAATGTGGCCGAGCACCCTGCGAAGGCAGGGCGTGTTTGTAAACTCGGAGACCATGACATAAAAGTCACGGCCAATGGCATCGTCGTTACCGAACCGTTTCATAGCAGCATCGAAGATTGCGATGGGAATAGCTCCAGTGAGAGCGGGTGTTGAGTTGAGGTTTTCAAGGGCGGCCTCGTCAACTCCATCTTCCTTCCCGAGGCTTGGGTTGATATCTTCTTCCGTCACAACCGGAAGGGCAATAACATCTGCATTCGGATCCGTTGCAGAGTCAGCAGGCATCGAGGAAGATTTTCGAGTACCATCCAGGCCCAGAATCTGTTGCCGCGTTGTGATCCGCGTGATATATAGCATTTCAAGCTTAGCATACTGCAGCCAAAGTAATTTAGAGCTCTTGCAAAACCTCAGACCCCGCTGCATATAACTGCGTGCCTGTGTCATATCCCCGTGGTCTTCCAGCGCATATCGGGCTGCATATATCCACAGCTCGACCTTCGTAGGATGTAATCGCAGCGCATTCATAAAAATCCGACCGAGCTTCTTATACGCCTTCTGCCGCCTGGCATATTCGATGTACTGCATCCATAGGCTGATATCGCCGTAGAACTTCTTCGTTGCGCGGTCGAGAATGAAAAATACCCGTCTCTGGCCAGAATGCATGGGTGATTTAACGCCTAGTCGTTTTATCCGCTTCCGTCGCAGGGTGTCCAGGTTCATTTCGTACGCCGCATACTGGGCGTAATCTGCAGGTTTGGGCCCTGTCGCATTGATTCTATGCTCAAAATCAGATCGTTTCTTCAGGATCGCTGCAATTTCATCCTGGAATTGGAATGGTTAAGTGGTACTTTGTTAGCATATATCTTGGAATTGAAATCGCGTCGTCATTTATTTGATTGGGTAGGTCTAGGTACCTTTGAAAATATCTTTTTCTTCTCGTACTCCTTGAATTCCGGTACAAGCTTCTCCAGATAAAAGCGAGCTTTATCGCTCGCCGTGGCCATGGTTTGCTAAGAAGAGAGTGGCACGAGAGGGCTCATCGTAAAACATCAAAGAATCCCCAAGCTGCATTATTTTTGACACAGGATTCGGAAAAAAATACTTCCACTCGACGCTAGCTGCTTTGGATCAACCTCCCGCTTCAGAGGTTCTCCCCAACCATCCTCAAAAACGACACCAGACACCTCAGGGGCAGTCGTCGGCTTCACCACGCAGCTTTCTTCGCGGTGTTATTTCCTTTCTTCTTTCATTTACGTTTCGAATTCCTTTCTCACCAGTACTGTCCTTTAATACATATCATTTTAATGATTCCTTTGTCGTTTTTGTACATGTAATCGCATTAGAGAATAACCGACCCTGGGCCCCTGGTACTTCTGCCACAACAACCATGGCTCCCAAATTCAAGGACGGAGATACTGTCGTATCTGTTAGTATATATATACTCATATTGGCGGCTATCTGGCGTGTGTGCTGGTTTATACTGACCTTGTAAACGAAGATCAATGGTAGATGGGTGTCATGGGCGCATACTCTCGCCGCCTATACTGCCTTCCTCGGGGCATTGATTGTCGGCATACGGCTTCACTACCACAAGATTGTCCAAAACGAATACTACGGCTACCCACAAGAATGGTTCCCCTCAGTGTCGGCAACAATTGGTGATCGCTACCCGGAACGATCGGTCTTCCAGCTGTTTATTGCTATCACCTCAGGCCCGCGCTTTGCTCTCGTCTTCCTCTGGTACATCCTTACAGCTCGTCCAAACTCTTCCCTCCCAAAATTCATCGCTGGGACTGGATTGTTCCGGACATTGACTTGCGGTGGCTGGACATATATTACTTCGACGGATGATCATGATTGGCACGATATATTCATGATTTCATATCTGGTTGCTACCCTGCCCTGGACTTTGGGGTGCCTTGCCTTAAGCCCCAATAACCGTCAGGCCGTGAAGTATCGGAAGATTCTTGCAGGCGTCTTTTTCGGCACACTTGTTCCATTGATATATTACTTTATCCAGCATAAAGTTCACAGGGTGCCTGGCGGTTAGTACAACGCTGTTTAACTTGAATATCTCATGCTTCCTTTGAATTTTCGATTCTGATGTGAACAATTAGCTTACACGAAATACGCCTTCTTTGAATGGGCGCTTGTCTTATTCGACGTGGGATTCGACGCGGTTACGGTCCTTGATTTTAGCGCATTCGAAATTGTGGTAAGAGATGTGAAGGGTATCAGCAGAGGGTATGTCAATTGGCTTCCAAAATAGACAAATGTACTCTTCACGTTTTGTTCCCCGCCTGGAGTGATGAAATAGGTGTCTAAGAAGTAATATACAGAAGATCGAAGACCGCTGGAGACGCTGTCCTTGAAACGCAGTACGCCTTGCCTTTCTTCTCTCATTTATTCTCCACATGTTAACCCCC